CTGAGCAAATAAGTGCTCAAGTGGAATATCTCAATTTAATAAAGAAATAAAACAATAAAACATATAAGCACACATATCCATTATACTTTTCATGATTTTACCTGCGTTCATGGATGCTGTATAAAAATTTTTGCAACTTTTATTAACCATCATACGTAATAAAATTTATAATAATAAATCACATAACTCATGGCTTCCATAAGGTTATAGTGAAACCAAAAGTGATAAGAAGAATGTATGAAACTGTATAAACTGGAATGAATACCTGTATGGCTGGCCTGTTATGGCCCGTAATATAAACTATAAATCATATCCACTCAACAGCCTATAGCTGGAGTACCAAACTGTATGGGGCGCAGATCTGCTATCCTATGTCATGACATAGTCTTATCTACGTGGTTTCTGGCTAACCTTAATGGAGCATATTATGTGTATTGTGATAATACAAGAATTATTTAGAAAATATCTAATGAGGAATAACGCATACCAGTGATAACGTATAAAGTAACTTGCATGGAAATACTCTAGCTATTGCACCCGCGATGCAATTCTTACTAATATTTATGTAACTAAATTTTACCATTCAGATTAGGGAAATTCTTAGTTTGAATTTAAGTTCACTTAGAAGGTAAAATGCAGTAATAATTTTAGGGTGAATGAATCTACATATGCATTCCAACATCATTAATCATTTCTAAATGTGTTCTTGAAAATCCTTGCCCAGACAGCCTGTACATGTTCACAAATCCAGCAATAAAACGTGGTCCAACAACCTGGTTCAGCATGAAATTCAATGTCTAACTTCATTCATCCCAATTCAATCCCATTCAATTCATCCCATGCTTTATCACCATTTACAGACCTCTAATTCAACATTCAGCAACATATCTTTGCATTATCCACACACTACAGAAGTGTTCATGAAAGAAAATGTGAAAAACTAAAAGAGATATCAAACCTTCAACCAAAAGAGCTTTAAATCTTCTTCTTAGCTTCCTTTTCCTCCAACTTTGAGCTCCCCTCTCCTTTACATCATAACTCTTATAAATCATCTAAAATATCACAAAAGTATGAAATTTAAGAAAGGCTACTTACTTGGATAGAGTTCTAGGTTGAATTTAGTATTTAAATCACATGAAAAGTGATGGAGAAAACTTAGTGAGAAGAAGATTTTGGGTCCAGATTTGGTTAGAGAAACAAAAGAGAAAGTGGAAATCATCAGAAAACGGCTGAAGGAAGCAAGTGATCGACAGAAGTCTCGTGTAGTCCAAATTTATCTTTGATTGTGTGTTAAAAATTACCAAATAGTACCTATATTTTCCATATATTACATTTTAATAACTAAACTTTATATTTTAGTGCAAGTAAGTCCTACTACTTATACTTTGATCTTTTTGTTTCATTCAAGTAAGTCCACTTCTTTTACTTATTTACGTTACATCCCATTCTACCCCACTCTGGATTTAAATGGCTCGAACCGGGTTCTTGTTCGGCCCAACTCGACTCGACTCTATGCAACCATTTTACCCCACTCTGGCGTTAACCGGTTTCTAGTTCGACCCGACTCGACTCATGTATATGCAACGATTCGATTCAGTAGGATGTTACAATGTTCATCGATCGCTAATGAAATTTAGCGACCGATTTCTTGCATTTTGAGACCGATTGGTCGGTCGCAAAATGTAGATTTTTTTGTAGTGAATTATTATCTATTTAGAGATCATGTTATTCGAGTTATAAGCAAAATGTCATTAAAGTGTAAAGTAGACACTCAAGTAAGAAATACTTACCTAACAGTTATGAATTCGCCATGCCTTAGCGAGACAAGGCGGGCATCCTTTGGACTAGGTTGCATTCTTTGAATGGCTTAGATGTAGAAGGTATGTCACTTTGGCAGCTTTGCTGATGAGAAGTTCTAATTTTGGCGAGACTTGGCAGAAGAATTGCGTCATTGTGGTGGCTGATATCTTCTGCGAGTGAATGTACCCTTTTGGCAGCTTTGATCTATAATGTGTCACTTTGGACGAGTGCATTCTTTGAATGTATTGATCTAAAGTACGTCACTTTGGATGGGTCCATTCTTTGAATGGCTTAAACTGAAATGCGTCACTTTAGATGAGTGCATTCTTGGAATGTCTTGATCTGAAGTACGTCACTTTGGACGGCTGCGTTCTTTGAACGGCTTGAAATGAAACGCATCACTTTAGATGGGTCCATTCTTTGAACGTCGTAATCTAAGTACGTCATTATGGACAGGTGTGTTCTTTGAACGACTTGATCTAAAGTGCATTACTTTGGATGGTCTTGCAAGAAACAATTTTGCTAACAAGAAACAAATGTCTTTAACAAGAAACAAATGTCTTTGGCCAATTAAGGTTAGTACCAAAAATTCTGTGATTATGCTCGAAAAAGTGTGTTCGTGTAAGAATGTGTGACTTTGCACGAAAATATGTGAAATTATAGAAAACAATGTCATGGCACGCAAAATAAGAAAATATTATCTGTTGACTTGGAAATTATACATGTGACCAGTAATGATGCCCCTGCTTAGGTGACGAGCCATGTTGGGTTGCCGACTAAGCATATGATCTGGGTCGCAGCTAACGGGTCAAAGGTCACAATTGGGCCCAAGAAGCCCAACAGAATCTTATAAAAAGGTGGAGAGGAACCTTTTAGGTTTCACTTTCACTCTTTCCACCTACACTTCCTATATAACTCTTTGAATCTCCGTTTTTATAAAGATCAATACGGCAGCTAAAAACATCAGAAACAGGATTCCCAAGGATATTGTTGTAGATCTAGAGACTCGAGAACTGAGCGCCGGTATGCAGTTGCGGGAGATTTTGCCCACATCGGACTGTTGGTCAGAATTCGACTAAATTTGTCTAGGCACCTCTGTTGGGGCACCGCCCAAGTAATTTTGAACTCTCTTTTGTTTTTCTTTGATTTTCCTGGCATGAGGAACACTAGAAATACGAAAATAATAGGTTAAAAATAAGATTTAGGTTAGATTTTACCTATTTACATCGATTGGTGGCTATGTGGCACCGATATGGCATGTGCCACTACTTTTGAGGCATGTGCCACTGCTTTTTAGCATCTAGGTATGGCGTGAGGGACAGATCTAATGGCATGCACCACTAAACTAGTGCTTAGTGCCACTAGTTGGTAGAAGAGTCTCTTTTGATTTCTTTTTGACCTGCAAAGAAAAATACAGAGATATTTTTGTGCTTGTCACTTATTAATTGAAATACTTACAATGCTCTATTTTACAGAAGAGCGTTTCACTTGTGGAAGCTGGTGGGAATGCCTACACCGCTGACCGAATGGTTCGACCGATTACTGGAAGGAGTTGAGGAGCGTGAATTAATCATTTCATAACTCATAATATTTATATTTTATCCAAAATATTTGAATTTGAAAATATAATTTATTAGTAGGTGAAAAAGAAAAAACTCTAGTTGTCTCTATCTCTCTCTGGCTTTCTCTTTTTTGTGTTCTTCTAAATTTTATTTCTAAACCATCGCCGACCATCTTCTTTGGTCAACGATGGTTCCTTTTCATCCCTCTCTATCGTTTTTCTTTATTTTGTTTAGTTTTCTTTCTAATATTTTCCAAACCTATGATCATTTAGAATAAAATTTGAATTTAGTCTCTTAAATCTTGAGTAATTTTGGTAGCCTCTTAGCATGTGGATTATTAATTTATCTCCTTTCATGGGGTCATTCCTCGTTATTAAGGTGTTTTTACGTGGATCTTTTATTTCTTGGGCAGTTCGAAGGACAAGATGGATTACTGGTTGCTTATGGTTGGAACTTAGATCTTCAAGTTCGAGTCAGTTTCTTTTACCAATAGAGTCTAATAGTGCAGCTTGTTCCTCCATTAAAGTTTGGTATATTAAATTCCTCGTTATTAAGGTGTTTTTACGTGGATCTTTTATTTCTTGGGCAGTTCGAAGGACAAGATGGATTACTGGTTGCTTATGGTTGGAACTTAGATCTTCAAGTTCGAGTCAGTTTCTTTTACCAATAGAGTCTAATAGTGCAGCTTGTTCCTCCATTAAAGTTTGGTATATTAAATTCTTCTGCGGGTATCAGTGGTACCAAGTTTTCAAAAAAAACAATATTCGAAATAATATTATGAAAGATTTCTTTTGTCATCCTATTTGAAAATGGATCAATTTTGATCCAGAAGATTAATCTCTTCTGCTACGATCAAGAACATTTCCAAACAGAAGATTTTAATTTTCTATAATTATATTTCTTATTCCATTAGGACGATTATGATTTATTCAACTTATTCATTTTAATGAATTTTTAAGTTTTCAAAAAAATATATAATTTATTAGAAATAAACAATACTTCTTTATTTGTCTCTTCTTTTATTTCTCCATAAAATATAAAGAAAATTAATACTTGAACGGTTAGCATATTTTTAGATTCCAGAGTTCTATGAATACAAAAAATAATCTGAGTTCTAAACTAGTTGTATATCTTCAATGAATATGCACAAAAGTAATTAAGTATTGATAACTTCTAATAGCATCTTCATAGCATCTTTTGTTTTCTAAGTCGACCCTTTGAACCCTTCAACCGTTAAAATTTTTAATTAGTGAAATTATAAATTAAACTTAATCTTATATAATTTTTAATTACTAGGTATATGTTAATAAGTATGATACTTGATATACTTTTTTACACAAATTTGTTCATCCAATAGCTGCTTAATAAATATAATGCCTAACGGTCAAATAAATCCTGAACTTTGGACGTTTTTAATCATTTTAACCGATTCTTTTAATTTTTCAATCAATACATGCAACTTACTTTTTATTAACAATTGTGACCTATCTGTTAGAATCACGTTGATGTGTCCGTTAATGGGTCCCACCTCCTAGCAACTTAGCAGCTGACTAGGAATTCCACTAGAGCACCCCTCCTATCAAATACAACACAAAATGTCGTCGTTTTATGTTCCTTCCCATACTTCAATAAAACAATACAGTTTTCCTCTCAAAATCCCTAATTAATAATCATCAAACACATCGGTCTCCCTCTCTCTGAAATCCTGAAAATACATCGCTAAGTCTCTACTCCTAATCCCCCTATGTTCTACGCATAGTCTTTACTCCTAATCCCCTCTCTTCAAATTGTTTTTCGATTGAGTTGGTATCATATCTGGAAATGGCCTCGACAAACAAAACAGATATAAGCCTCGACAAACAAAACAGATATAAGCCAAGCAACAGAAACAACTGTGAGGGGCGAGAGTGGAGTGTAGGTATAATCTGAGGGCAAGACTATATACATCATAGAGTTCTCGTAATCCAAGGAGGCGTTTCTTTTGCTATTCCCATTTGAAGGTATAAAAAACCACACCTGATGCCATTTTGTGTAATTTGTAGTCATTTTGTAGTTGTGGTTGTTTGGAATTGTTCTGTTTTGCTATGATAGTAGCAGTTTTGGTTTTCTTTGTTACAAGAGAGAGATAATGATTGTGGATTTTTTTGATTGGTTTGACCCTAAGAGTTTCTCATGTGAGAAGGAAGTAATGACATTTTTTATAAGCCAAAGGCATTCACTGAAGCAGCAAGTAAAGTTGATGGATAAGAAGGATGAGTTGAATGTAGCGAAGAGAGCAAAGTTGGAGCAGAAGTGTAAAAGGAGAAAAGATGAATTGGTATGCTTTAAAGCATAAAACCAAGCCTTGTAGACTGAGATTAGTTCAATGAAGATTGATAAGGCTAAGCTGAATTATAGGGAGAAGTTGTATATGATGTGTATTGTTTGTTTGCAAGTAATGTGATTGTAATTTTTAAGTAGCTACTCTACTTTTAGGCAAACACATTAGCTCCTAAAACACTTATACTCATCATAATGAGTTTTAATAATAAAAGTCTTCTCCCTTTATAGTTCATCAGTATGTAGCCTCCAAGGGCAACCCTGTACACACCCACCATTTTCCCTCTCAAAACAACTTCTATACCATCTTACATTAAATCCATTTGCAATTGCAAATTCTTGGACAGCTGATTTAAATTGTTCCAGACCTGTGAATCTTATCCCAAGAGTAAACTTTATGTTAGAATGATCACAATAAGGGTCATAAATAATATTTTTCCTTCACTTCATTAACATATTCCTTTCGACCTCACTGTCACTACTATGAGGTGTAATAACATCTTCATTTGTCTCCTCATACACACTTAGATAACTACTCCCATCAACATTCACAAAAGATTGCACATCATCAGTGCTTATAGGAGTTCTTAAAACTCTATTTTCAACAACATCTTCCATTTGAAAACCATGTTTATAAATCTTCTTCTTCCTTCTTACCATATCATATTCTTCATCTTCAGTGGAAATTTCTTCAAAAAATTGATAAGCTTTCATTAGGAGGCTTATAATTAGAATCATCAGAAGAAGTGTCATTTCATTCCCTCATATTGACACTAAGCAAATCACTCCCTTCATCGTTAACTTCCTCCAAATTATCAATATTACCTTCCTGAAAATTACCCATTTGATCATTATCTCTCTGACTGCATTCATCAACCCCTTCCGTGTTTATGGTCACTTATCCATTTCTCCTCCCATATTTAGCCATCTCTAACACATCTATGTCGTTACTAATAAGCCTTATAGAACCAGATCTTGTCATGTTAGGGACTTGAAAAGCCATTTTACAATATCTACGTATCCATATTCCCTAACCAAACCCTCTATTTCAAAGAATGACATCTTGTCGAGATCGCAATTGTCTAAGACAACGGCCAGTTCACCAACATATGGAGTTTCAGAATCAATATGTATAACGGCACCATACCACATTTGAATGGTGAAATACTCAGCCATATCTATTTTTAATAATAAATATGCATGAACAGTTTGCATCAGATTTTTTAACATACTTAGTATGCATTTACTTAGATTTTGCATTTAAAACCCCATTTTTAAACTCCACTCTCCTAAACCTTAGGTCTGTTATGTGAAAAATTCATTAAATACCACTCTTAACCCCATTTTCTTTCTTGCGCTTTCTTTCTAGCCTAATAACACCACTTAATAAACAACGGTCACTACACTTAATAAAGAAAACAATATTTATACTAAAATACCTAAGTTATGGCACAAGCTTTCCATAAAGATTGTCTTTTCCTAACCACAAGCTCTGTCGCAATAGTTCCTTGTCTTTACTTCACACGAATGGACTTCCATTAACCTTTGTTAATAATACTTGTCACTTTCTTCAACTTGAAAAGGGAGAAAGCATCAAGGAATCATTTTTTAGGGATTTAATAGAGGGAGATCAATGTGTTTAGGCTTTAGAGGGAGAGCAACATCGCTTTTCTTTTAGGAATTTCAGTGAGGGAGAACATAACATAAAACACCATCTATGTCTTTCTTTAATTTTAAGGCTCAATTTCGTTCAACATAAAATGACAATGTTTTGTGGTGTATTTGATAGAAGGGGTACTCTAGTGGAATTCCCAGTTAGCTACTATGTTGTCAAGAGTTGGGACCCATTAACAGACACGTCAGCGTGATTATAACATATACTAACAGAGACTACAATTGTTAATAAAAAATAAATTGCATGTATTGATTGAGAAAATTAAAAGAAATGATTAAAATAGTTAAAGCATCCAAAGTTCAGGATTTATTTGACCATTAAATCTAAATATAATGTTATAAGTTAAAGGGAATACACTGTTTTATCCCTAGATTTTGATTCCGTTAAACTATGTTGTCTTCCTATCGAACTTATTCTATTTTGGACGCTAATTGAAAATGAAAAGGCACAAAGGTTCTTTGCAAAAATTATATCATGGGTTTTTATTATCTTTTTAGCCATTTCAAATAATGAGATAACAAGCACTGGATTGGTCACAAAGTGAAGCAACATGATTCAGCCATGGATGATTTAAGATAAGGATTAAAAAGAGTGATCGGGGGATAAGCCAATCTGGTGGAGCCGAGATGGAAATAATATATTGTTTTCTTGTTGGTGCTAAGAGGGGACCTTTTCAACATGATTATGAAAGAGCAAGCTGTCAAAAACAAGAGCAGTTTCAAAGAAATCAGTAGAAGCCCTTCCATGGGTTACTCACTCTTGGTGATATATCAGCAGAAGCTAAAAGCACCAACCACCTGTTTATGTAGATTTTCCAACTTCTCTTTCACTTCCCTCTCTCTTTCTCTCTCTCTCTCTCTCTCTCTCTCAAGATTTCCTTCTGTAATAGAAAACCAAGAGAAGAAGAGGAAATTTTATAAAAGATATTATTAAAGAAGAGACCTAGGCATCCAATCAAGTGAACAATAAGTTTTATCATAAACCAACTTTAATACTTTTATTTTTATTTTTGGTGATTTTTCGATGTCATTTTTTAGCTGATCCTTTCTCGATATGAATCATTTGAGAGAATTGCACAAATTTTTGTTCTAATAGAGATTCTTAGATCCATGTATGAAATTTTTTTTTTTTCCACTTTTCAAAATTTATTTAAGTTTTTCAGAAAATAAAAATTTAAAAAGAACCTAAGGATATTTATATCTTTTCACAAGCCACTTAACAAAAGTAATTTATTTTAAAAAACGTAGAGTAATTAATTTTGGTATAATATGAGAACAAAATTATAATTTTTCCCTAAATTAAAATATACAATAGATTGCAATTTTAATAGTTAAAAATGTTGAGTAGATATATTTTTATATGAATGTAGTTGAAGATATCACTGAACTTTTCTTAAAAGTTCAAGGATACTGAAGTTAAAAACTTCAATTTTCTTTTGAAACCACAATGCAAATGAAATAAAGAAGATAGGGCTTGATTTAATCCATCACTTGTCCCAATTGGAAACATTTCTTACATCAAATACCTATTCCCATCAAATTAAATGCGCCTCCAAACTCACGCAACAAATAGCCAGGGAAACTGATAATGGTGGTTCAATCATGTATCCCCTTCTTAACATTACAATCTCTTTAAGCTCTTTTTTCTTGCATCCATTTTTTTCTTGTCTGCCTGAGCTTTTGCTGCTCCACCTTCTTTCTTCTGGAGACCTACTACAGGTGTTGCCACTGCCACAGCTAGAGATCCACCAACTCCTGTCTCAGCAATTGGAGCTGCAACCGCTACCTGATCCTGACTATTTCCTCCTTTCATAGGTATTGTACAAGGAGCCAATGGGGATGGCAATGTTATTGCAACAGTAACTGCTGTGTTCTTCTGGTCACCGTTGAGAACTGAGGTGTTACTTTGATCAACATTCAGCGCTGTAGTAGACTCTGAAATAGCTCCCGACTTCAACTTTGGTTTTGGTTTGGCATGAATTCCAGTGTACAACCTGTATGGTTTTTGGATGATCAGCCAACATTTCGATGATAGTCATTTAAAAACCACGGTGAAAAAGCGTCCTAGTAGTCATGTCTTCATGAAAATCTAAATAAGATGCAGGATTACCACATTCCACAGCAATCAAGAATGCCTAGAGCTTCTTTGATTAGAGAATTATAACAAAAGAGAGGTAAAATAGATAATTAGATACTCAATGAAATGGAATAACTGTTCTTCTGTGTTCCAAAAACTTTGGAATTGTTAATTACAAATATTAAAAGTATTACATATTTAAAATTTCAACTAAAACTTGAATCATAAAATTGCTAGTCTATGGAATAACTAATACACATCTAAATTTGAACCATGACTGATATTAAATATTAGATTCCCAGCTTATTCCATGTATGAAATAAAAGTTTAAAGAGATTTACTATTTAGTCACTCTATTATAATGAAATACACTAGACCAATGCTGTATTTTTCAATAACTAAATTAATTATTCCTTTTTTTAACTCCGTCTAACTGTTTAATCCCATTAGCCTTTAACTTCCTTTTACATTAGTCAGATTACAAAGTCAAAAAAAAAAAAAAAAAAAAAAAAAAAACTAACTGTTTAATCCCATTAGCCTTAACTTCCTTATTACATTTAGTCAGCATTACACAAGTCAAAAAAAAAAAAAAAAAAAAAAAAAAAAAAAAAAAAAAACCATAAATGTAAATATTTTTTTTTTTTACTAAATTACCCCTGAGTTCATAATTACCCATAATTCTGCAAATTGACTTTGGTTAATTGGGACTTAGAGAAGCTAAATGGACCCTTCGGATGAAGCTTTGATAGAGTTAGTGTGGATTGATTTAGAGGTGGATGACTGGAGAAAACTTTTGGGGCTTTAACGATAATTGGGTGATTGGTTATTGAGAATTCAAGGCCAAGGTTGTTTTTTTGGATACATAATGCATAGGAAATAAGAGTTCAAAGGTGTTGCAGGCACCGTGTGTGTGTGTGTGTCAGGAAGAGGTTAAGTCTAAAACTTGTCATCTCATTAAATTTAAAGTTTTATTTATTTAAAAAATCTTATGGAGTTCTTTCTTTTCATTTTTAGCTTTAATTCTTTCCTTTTTCCGGCTCTAAAATACCTACAGATTGAGATTGGATTTGAGTTTAGGGCGGAATAAGACAGAAAAAGAGAGAGAGAGAGAGTTAAGTAGTCAAGAGAAAGTCAAATTGACAAGTGGCATCAAAAAAAAAAAATTGAAAATCTATTACGGGTAAAATTGACATTTCAAGACTATTTAACTAAAACTAACAGAGGGGCTAAGTAGTTATACGAGTTAAAATAGAGGAACCATGATTTTACTTTTAAAAATACTAGTATTGACTAGACTATTTTAGTATAACATCAATTTCTTGATTGGAAGAGTCGTGACTGCAGCTACCTAGCAAAAAACATATGAAAGAACGTCGATATGGCGTACACCAGTTTCTACCACACTAAAAGATAAAAGAATCTAGCGTACTCAGAAAACATTTCTAGAGGATCCACAATTTGTATTATTTCCATGGCCAAGATAAAAATAAAAATAAATAAATAAATAAATAAAAGGTTACTGTGATACTTATGTGTAAAGATCCATTGTTCTCAACTATGACAACACAACAGGTAACAAGATGAGCATTGCTCACCTGGCATGCCTAGCATACTCCTCATAATTTTCTAGCAGCATCTTGCCAGCCTGCTCGTTTAAAGCTGATTCTGGAAACGGCTCAATCAATAAACATCTAACTACCTGTTTACCACAAAATTCAGTTCAAGGGAAAATCAAATTTTATATAAATTTTGTTTTAAAAAGTAGAATTTTTTTCTTTTTTTGGTAAAAAGTAAAAAAAGAACTGCTGTGATCTCAGATAATCTCCATCAAACTGCCAGGTCTTGCTCCTATCAATTAAAGGAATAATATGTAAGTTAACGGGATCAATTAAATAACACATTCAATGAAACTTACAATGAGAACGTGGCGCAGTCCAAGACTTGGATTCCAGTCCTTTTTTAGCGTATTGACACAAATTTCACCATTGGTTGCAATGTTCGGATGGAAAATCTTTGTAAGGAAGTACCCTACATCATCAAATTCACTCACAAAATTGCATATTAGCTACTGAATTAGAACTCAGTGTGCACTATCAAATATTAGAAAATAGCTAATGACACCAAATTTTCCTTTTCCACAAAGAATTCAAAAAAGGAACTAAATTAAGGACCTAGAAGTCTCTACAAGGTAGTATTATTTCATACATAGAAATTTTATCCACAAACCTTTGGGAGGAGAATGTGGGAAGTCACGTGATAATATCAGCTTCATGCGGAACACACCATTCTCATACGGTGTTCCAGCTGCAAGGCCAGAAATCTCACTTGAGTATGAAGACTAATTTATTAGAATGTAAACTAGAAAAGAGGAATACACATGCCTGGCCCTTCAATGTCAGCATATATGGTTGAAAAATCATCATCATTTACTCCTACTTTAATACCCTCAGGGGGAGATTCATCAAGGTTCTTCAGTTCTTTGGCAAGTTGTTTTATGACATTTGGGGGAAGATTCTCATTCGTTGCCTTAAAACAATAATAAAAAACACAAAATAGAGTTAACATGGTATGATATACAAATGGCAGAAACATAACCCAAGCTCCATGTATTAACTCAATGCAAAATGCTGAAATCCCATCTGAAAACGGTGGTTTTCAGGCCTTATACTTTCCCTCCTATGTAAATGCCACTCAAGTTTGATATGCTGCTTTGTATTATGGAAACTCTAACCTTAAAACAGCCTGAAAGTTTCCTTGTCCCACCTTAATTATTTTCTGCTTATGTCCGTCGGAATTTGGAAATTTTTCACAAATGTTTAGAGAACTGTTTTTAAGTCATGCATTCAATCTATTTGCAAAGATATTAAAGTCATACCAAAACTAAGTCTTTCTGAAAGGAGAAAAAAGGCCTTAAGCTTAGGCATATAATATGATCAAAACATAAAGACAGAAACCAAGAGGCAGCATTCCTGCAATCATCTTGAACTTATAGCCAGCAATCCAAGGCTTAACTAATGGACAGCATTGTTCATAAACTTTTAACTAATGAGATGGACATGGAGTAAAATATACTTAAATTCCTAGAACAAATAAAGGGTCAAAGCTGCTTGAAAGAAGAAAATTTACCATGGCCACAGAAGAATTAAGCCTGTTCTCTTATTTGATAAGAAATCAGAAATAAACGGTCTTTAACAGATGGCCTGTAAATATAAGATGAGATAAATCATTGTTTCAGCTTAGCCCTTTGCCTCCATTGTTAACAAAAATAAAAAGACTTGATGATAAGTTAAGGAATAACACAATTAAAATTTGCAATTAAGAATTTTCAAGACACGACACAATTGAATTTGCAACCCAATAGGGTTTTAACATAACAGATTTCAAATAACCATATTCTCCGTTTGGATAAACCTATTCTGGGATCGCCTTCCGATCATCCGTTACCGTTACAAGACAACCGGTACAGAGAAACTCCGCCATCTGTATGTCGAGTACTACCAGATGGAGAAACCATCAAATCAAAGACAGAGACAGAAGAAAGAGAAGAAAAAAGAGATAGGAAAACGAAACCTCTCGAAATTTCAAATGGGTGTTCTGAGGAAACTTCAGATTTGAAAGATTGAATGACTGATCTTCAAGATTTCTGCCTGATCTATGAAACACCCAATTCGCTATCGAGTTGCCAAAAGAGAAGTATCGTTGGTGGCGAGATCTACCTTTACATAGTTTTTTTTTTTTCAATAAATTAACGTCACATCATTTCATTTATAAAAAAAAATTATTTATAAAAATTTTGAATTACTTGCATAATTTATTTTTAATTAATATATAGTTTTTAAAAATTCTATTTAATATTTTTTGAAATGATATTTTTATTAAAAAATAGAAAAAATTTAACATTACATATCCTAACAAATAGGTTTTCCATATCGTAGGCTGGTAGCATCTATGATATCAAGTTGATTTAATATATTTAAATTAATTATAAAAAAATATTTTAAATGTATATTTTATTTATTGATATATTCAAAATATTGTAATAATACCAAATTCATTTATGTAAAATTTATCTAAACTTAAGTTTTTTTTTAAATAAATCCCGATTTGCCTAGTATACTTGTGATTCAGAATAAAAGGATAAAAAATTAACTTTTTAGCTCAATTCATCTCTTCAATCTATAATTCATATTCAATTTGCTCTAAAAAATCTAAATTTCACACGGAAATTTTGATAATAGACGTTAATTAATTAAAGATTGATATGCCACTTAAATCATATTATTTTCTTAATTTTGATACTTTTAACTTTTTATTCGTTTCACTTATAACTTTTTAGAAAATTAAATTAATTATTTTATTTCAACATTATCCTTATTTAAATATTTTCATTAAATTTATAAAATTAAAGTACTTTAATCATTTTCTCAATTTTATGAAAAAAAATTTAAAATTAACTTACCTTATATAATGACATATTGTAATGTGACGGGACAATATTAATTTGTGTATTTCGTAATTTTTATATGATTATACATTTTATACTAGTACTATAAAAATCCTCAACCTACCGTATAGGCCCACAGACTGACAGACTAAACAAATAAAAACGTGCCATGTGTGTCTTGTCTCCTTTGCAATAATTTAATATAAAACAATTTGTTTTTGTTTATACATGCTTTATTTATATTTTATTTATAAATAAATAAATTCGAAGATTAACCAACCGAATTGTTAAAGCTAACAAGGAGATTGAGATTCAAAAGCCAATTTGAAATTCAAAAATCATGCATTGTGGCGGGATGATTTTATTATATATTTCAAATTCAAAACATATTAAATTGGTTATTAACACATATCATATTTTGTTAATTTCAATAAAGTAATAAAAAAATCATCCAGACGTTTGTCTTCACTGAAAAAAGTTTTCTTTTTTTTTTTTTTTTTTTCTTTGTCCTCCCTTTGGCAATAATTTAATATAAACATTTGTTTTTGTTTTAATTACATGCTTTATTTATTAGTTTTTATTTATAAATGAAATGCAAAATTCGAAGATTAACATACAACCAGGTGGCGAGAATTGTTAAAGCTAAACAAGGAAGTTTGAGATTCCAAGCCATATTTGAAAATTCAAAAAAATCAGACAATAGCAATTGTGGCCGGATATTTTAAAATATATACAATTTATCAAAATTTCAAAACATATTAAAGTTGGCTTATTAACCACATATCATATTTTGTTAATGTTCATAAAGTAATAAAAGAATATCCAGACTTTTGGCTTCACTGAAAAAAAGTTTATACATTTATTTATAATGTTATTTTTTTTTTTTTGAAGAAAACAAATTAAAAAAGTTTTCAATTTTTTAATAAATTCCTGAAAATTAGATCTTTTAATATAAAGTTATTCATTTGAGTAAAAAATCAATATGTAATAATTTCCCGAAAGTTTGAAAGAAAGATTAATTGGGTTAATGATTGTATTATTATTTTAACATTGTAATTATGATTTTTATACCCATAAATCTTATCCATTGTTCACAATATGTATATTACCTTGAGTTAAAGAAATTTCAATAAGAAATTATTATCACAACAAGGTTACTATTTCTTACGGGAAGCCAAAATGTAATTACTTTCACATTTGCCAAAATAAATTTTTTTCATAGAGAGCTAAATATAACTTGCGTCATATTCCTGGATATGTATCATTGTCAGTGATTGTTTCGACATAGACTGGGTAAACTTCAACTGTATTGGTTACTTTAACAATAAATCATTTGATAATCAGCTTTTTATAATTTGAGATAAGATTTGATATTTTATGGAAAGAAAAAAGTTTTTTTTTTTTTTTTTTTTTTGAAGAACAATAAAAAAAGTTTTCAATTTTTAATAATTCTGAAATTAATTTTATATAGACATTTGAGAAAAATCAATTGATAAATCCGAAGTTGAAGAAGATTATTGGTTATAATTGTATCTTAATTTATAATTGTAATTATGATTTTATACCCATAATATCTTATCCATTGTTAACAAATATATATTACTTTTAAAAATTTAATAAGAATTATTATCACACAAGTTACTATTTCTACAAGCCAAAATTATTACTCACATTGCAAAATTTTTTCATAGAGAGCTAAAATATATTCGTCATTTCGGTGTTATTTCAGTGTTGTTCGGACCAGGTAAATCAACTGTATTGTTTCTGTAACATAATATTGATAATAGCTTTTTAAAAATTGAGTAAGTTTTTTTATGAAACGATAAACACTTTAATATTTAGTATTCCACAGAAATTAATTAAATTATACTCATTATTTTTTTTCGAATTCAATTAATTAAATAATTAATTTCATTTTTTATCATTTTAAGCTAAATAACTCATTAAATATCTATTTTACTGAATACTTCTAATTTAAGTCGTTATATAAATAACTACATACTAAAAGCTAATAGCTAATACTTAACAATTAAGAACTACTAAAATAATTACTATTGCCGAGCAACTACCTACTAAAATCTAATAAGTAACATCTAGCAACTATCAAAATAACTACTATTGTCGAACAAGTCCTTCATACAATAAATAAGAAATTAAATATAATTAAAAAAGCACATAAAATATTATAATTATACAAACAAATAAATATTGCATATAATCTAATATTTCTTAATGAAAATAGTATACATGACAACAAAATAATAAAGATATTTAACATAGACAATAACTTTCAATAGGAAATAAGATTTATTTACATATTGAAAATTACAATGAAAATAACAATTAGCGTTTAAAGTTTTAAATATGTTATTGTAATTTTAAAATTCGATCCATTTAATTTCATTTTATTTTTTTTAAAATATTAAAATAGAATCATTAATTGTAATATTAAATTTATCTCTTTGGAGTTCTCTTCTTGTGAGAGTTTTTGGGTTTCCGCATCTTTGTGGCTGGGATTCTCCACCAATGAGATTTGTTTTTCCTTGTTTGAAAGTGTTCTCTGTCTGGTTTTTTCACGATTTGGGGCTCTAGTTTTCTTCGTCTTTCGCCCTTACATGTTGATCTCATACCCTGTCGTGTTCTTGTGTTTCCCTCTATTACCCTGTTTTTCGTATTTCTCTGTTGTTTTGTTTAGTTTTTCATTTTTTTTTTTTCCTTTTTACGAGGTTGATCTCCTTTCCTGTCGGTTTTTCTTTCGTATATTTCCATCACCATCGCTTCTTTTTGTTCTTGTTTTCCCATATTGGTTGTGTCTAACTTAGCTCTTGTTTCTTGTTTTTTCTTGTAGGGCACATCTCATCGTATAGCCTTTCTCTTCATCCAAAATAAACAAGGCAACCGTGGATTGAGTGTGTTTTGATTTTTATAATGGCTAATAACCCAACCTACGTAGAGGTAGAGGTCATTGATCTTGGTGATCCCAGTGTTGTTTTGGAAGAGAGTAAGAAACATCTGTTTGGCCGGTAAGCAATGGACAAAATGCAATTTTTAAAAGTTTGTACTGATGGAGACTATGACTCGAGCATAGAAGGCTAAACATGGGGTAATGGCTCCTGTCAAGTCAACTTGCGAGTTGTTCAAGCTCAGCTCAAAAATAATTTGAAAATATTCTACTCGAATCGAGCTCGAGCTAATCAAGCGGAGTTTAAGCCTGACGATATTCGACTAGGAAGCTCAACGAGCTTAATTGAGCTTTTATATATAAGATACATTTTTAGGGTTCATAAATTTTGAAACCTTTTTTTATTCTTTGTTTATGTGACATTGCTCTTTATTGTTATTGTTTCTATGCTGGTCTCTCTCTGTCTCTTTAGTCTCTAGTCTCCATGCTTCTCTCTCCCGCTTTTCTTCCTCTCTCTCTACGCCAACCAATCTGCTGTTCTTCACTCTAGGATTTCCAACAATTTGCATTCAATCAATTGCCTAAGTTTCTTTCTCTATCTCTCTTTTATTATACAATTTTATTATATACAATTTGAACTTAATTAATCTAGAATTAAAATTTTTTCCAATAATCTTGTTAGATTAAATTTTTTTTTTATTATAGTTCAATCATGTAGGTGAAGAAGAGACCATGATCACAATTTTATATATGCATTGTTGAAGCTATATGTCCACTTAAAAATGAAAAGCAAAATATTCCAAATAATTCGTGCTTTTATTCAGATGACCAGGTCTGATATTACCTTGGCTAAAATAATTTACAAGCTTCTTTACAAACAGGTCTTTTAGATTTTAGATTTACAACCAAAAGGAATAGATGGTGATCAATTATTAATCAATAAATAAAGAGAAAAAAGAAATAAAAAAACTGCTCCTACAAGTTTACAGATTTTAGACTATAAATTTAGATAAAAAGATAATTTTTTAGTTCCAGCTCCCTCTACATCGACAAATCACTTTGATCCCTCGGCTTCTTCCACTCTGACTGCTTTTCAGAGTCCCATTATAGATCTTGTAGATCCAACCGCTTAGGTTTCTTTTTTATTACCATGTTTATTTTGTATATATTACAGTACAATTTTTATGATTTTCTTCGCATATTAATAATAATTTCTTTTTGATAATTTAGTATTTTTTCATTGCTACCATTGTTTGTGTGAATTACTTGAATCAATATATATTGCCCTTTTTGACAAGTGAAAAGTTTTTATTGTCTAAACTTAAAATTTTTTATTTTTTATTCCAAAAAATAAATAGAGATGGAATAGCGACGAATCATAATATTTTGAAAAGTGATTGGCAACAATTTTAGCAACTGCTTTGCGATGGACCATTAAACATTAAAAACGAACTACAGCAACCGATTAACAACACTGTTAGCGATGCATAACATTCGCTCCATTTAGCTACCAAATAGTGACTACATTTTCTTTAATGGATGGAAATGATTCAACGACTGCTTTGTCAATATTAGCGACCGATTTTCTTTATGATTTATAAATTGGATTTAGTATTATGTCATAGTCTATATATATCTTTTTACATGTGATACTAAGAACATAAAATAATCATTACCATTATTGTATATTAATATTTTTCTATTTATTATTTTTAAATATTTAAAGCTCTAATTTTAATTACAGCACTATTTTGAAATACTTATATATGTATATATATATATATAAAAGTTGAAATAAAGAGAAAGTTTAAATTTTTTTATTAAACATTCTATTTTATTCACATATAATTATATTATCCTTAAAACATAGTATTTTCGAATTGTTTAAATTATGCACTCTATCCAAAATATGGACATAATTTTTCAAATTGAACACAAATTATAGTCCATACATCACATTGCACTTTGGTTGCTATCTCCTTCATAGTAATCAAACATATATTTATTATTTTATAACTTTTCATTAACTATTATTTTTCGTGAAGAAATTAGAGAAAGACTTTTGCAGCCATTTTTCCTGTACTCAATGTGGATCAAGGCAATAGGACGACAATGATGGTAAGCCATGCTTCTTTCAAATTTTTCTTCATCTTTAATGTTATTACTCTCTTTACTTCACTAACTGTTTCATAAATGCAATTGTTATCATGATGTTTACATAGCTCTTGATCTATTGATGGCTTAATTCAAGACAACTCTGGTTAGAGTTGATAAAAAAACCAGAGAGACGCATAAGGGAGATGAATGTGATTAACAAATTAATGTGATTGGCTTATGTGTGCACTTGAGTCATATTTGTAACCTCATCTTATATAATGGTTGGTCGAAAATATGAGTGGGCTGCTATTTTGGTTACAATTGTAGGAGTAATAATGGCTTATGTTCTTGGCATGATTGACTTATTGTATGTTGAAATCCAAAAGGATTCACTCAATGAAGAAGAAGGACAAGCATGCACGAAAGTGTGGATCCAACTCATGGCAACACTCGGACTTTCCCCTTGTGTTTTAGCCAATGTGGGATTTGCATAAAAGTGCGGATGTTGCACTTCATGCCCTCTATGGGACACAATGTCCTCACTGAGGTTTGCTTTACCACTAGCCAACAATGTTTGGCTCTGATACTAAATTTGGAAAGTCTGTAACATTCCAGATCTAGTAAAATATTATCCGCTTTGGATCCAACCTGCACGGTTTTATTTTTAGGCGAGAGCCTCACTTTTAAGCCAAAACATGTCTTATTAGTCTATATTTACACATCGTTATGTACATTACTTCCACTTTGTACTTAACCGATATGAATTCACCTAAGGATAAGCTAACATCTGAAGCTAGCACATCACCTTATGCAGATGCTACACCAGCAATTTTAGATCCACATCCAATCTAATCCTGCATTGGATAATTAATTTAATTTTTATATCCATTCCAAATTTGTTTAATTAATATCTAAACTTATTATAAATAAATTTTTGTAGATCGAATACCTATAAAAACTCACTCGTTTGTATCCATAGTTAATGCTTGATCATTTACAAATTGGCAATCCAATAAAAGGAACCAACAAAAGCAACATAAAAAGTTGAATTTATGAAAAAAATTTAGATGCAAAGAAAACTTGGAAACATACAATTTGGATTCAGTATCAACATTTGTGTTGGTGGAGAAAAAGAATTGGTAGTCAACATCACACTAGCAATCTCATGAGCTGAATAAAGAAAAATTTTAAGTCACTGTGCCTCCAAATTTTGAAAATTCTAAAATTACATACCGTTGGACTCATTATCTATATATGCATAAATATTATATTTCAAATATAAATATTTTTTAAAAAATAAAAAAAAGTATATATATAGGATTATTTACCGATAATTAATTACCACCACAAAAAATAATTGAATAAAGAATCTTGACAAGTTAATCCGAGTATACAGTGACCCTCTAAAAGTAAACAGTTGTTGTCAATTCATAATTTCGGGTTTTTCCAATTTCTTGTGCTTTCGATTATGATTTTTACCAATTTGTAGGAAGTTTCTCTAATCTTGCCATGTGGCTTCCTCATATGGTTTACTCCAATATTAGCATATCATTTAACCGTGTTGAATTTCGCAGATCTGAAATTTTCCTTTTTTATTCTGAATTTTGAATTTATTTTGAATTACAGTTTTACCCTTACTCATCCATCTCATTTACCAAGGTTTTTAAATTCATCAAAAAGCAAATTGTTAAGATATATGATTCTATTCCTCTTCTAAATTATGCATATTAGAAAATAAACTCAATAGATTATTTTGATAATTCTAATATATAAAAATAGAATCAACATTCCGTTAGTTGAATTTAAATTGACTAAATAAATGCAAACTAAACGAGTTAAAATTTTCAGACGGAAAATTAAATTGAACCAATTTATTTATAAAATAAAATCAAACTGAGTTAGTTTTATTGTAATTTAATTTTTTTGAGTGAAGTCACTTTGATTTTTAAGGTTTATATAATAAAAATTGAATTAAATTAAAAAAAATTGAAATCAAACTGAATTTTAAATAGTGAAACTAACCAGTCGATTTAATTCAGACTTGCAAACAAACAATAAAATATAAACCACTTATATATCATTTGTATCTTTTAAATATTAAAATTTAAAATTTACGTTTTGATTTCATAGTAAAAATAAAACTATTTAAAACTATATGTTACCGATTCAATTTATCTATATTACATTACTTATCTTAATGAACACACAAAATATATATTGTTGAATTAGTAAATTCAAGTGCTAAATAGAAAAAAATATTAGAAAACTAATTTTGAGAAGCCTTAAAACATTTTTAAAGAATAATAAAAAATATAACAGGAAAAGAGGATAAAGGGCAAAATGGAAAATTTGAATATCTACTAGAAAAAGAAATATTGAAAGTTGTCTGAATGGAGAAAAAGCATACGCACAAATATTCTCTCTCTTCTGTGTCCTTTAATGCTTGTTTTTCTCTGCCTATAATTACGCTCTTATTTCCTTTCTTTAGAATTATATTTTCCTTTGCCTTATTTTATTTGTTATTCTTCTTCAAATTACTTTTAAGAGCAAAAAACAAGAAACTGATTTCTAAAGAATAAAGGAAAACGAAGAAGAAATGGCGGATCAGCTTACCGATGATCAGATCTCCGAGTTCAAGGAAGCCTTTAGCTTGTTCGATAAGGATGGAGACGGTTTGATTCCTCCCTCTTCATCTATGTATATGGCTAGATCTAGCTTCAATTGTTCTTCGTTATGTCTTTTGTTCTGCTATTACTTAATTTTATAGATTTTGGTGTATGTCTTTAACTACTCTGATCTGATGTGCTGTGTTATGGTTTTTCTTTAGCCTGATCTTGAAGCAATTGTATGTTGGAATAGTCTTATCACAATTGAAAATTAATGTTGATCCATTTTTATCACAGTATGCAACTACAATTGAAATTCGCTTTACCCTTTGTTGATTATATGTATATATTTGAGAATAATGATCAGTTTGCCCAAAGTTGTATAATTTACTCAAAGTGCAGCTTTTGGATCGATTTCAACAGGAATTTTTAACAAAAGGATGAATTTGGCCCATTCTTTTGCTGTCAATTCTAATGAGAAACAGATAATTAGTTTTCTCTAAGCTCAAATAATAACAAAGTGATTTGGTTGAACGCATTTGTTCCAATAAAAAATGGGTCCAAAAGATCATCTTAAAATGTTTGTTAGGGGAGAAATCATGAGATGCTTGACTGTGGCTATTGAAAATAAATAGAAGCTTAAGTTTTTGTCTTTTATAGTTAGTTGATTTACAATTGTAGGTTGCATTACCACAAAGGAGCTTGGGACAGTAATGAGATCTCTGGGACAGAACCCTACAGAGGCAGAGCTACAAGACATGATTAATGAAGTTGATGCTGATGGGAATGGGACTATTGATTTCCCAGAATTTCTAAATCTCATGGCTAGGAAGATGAAAGACACTGACTCTGAGGAGGAGCTAAAAGAGGCATTCAGAGTCTTTGACAAGGATCAAAATGGTTTTATTTCTGCTGCTGAGCTGCGTCATGTGATGACAAATCTTGGTGAGAAGCTTACTGATGAAGAAGTTGATGAGATGATAAGGGAGGCAGATGTTGATGGTGATGGCCAGATAAATTATGAGGAATTTGTCAAAGTGATGATGGCCAAATGATCATCCAATTCCCATCAAAATGGAAATGAGAGGATTTTAGCAGATAAAAGAAAAGAAATCCTGGTTAACTAAACTAATATAATTTAGTTTTCTATTTCCTTTTTCTTATGATTATTTTTTTTTATCTAATAGCTTTGAATCAAGCTTTTAATAGTAGGAGTAATCTATCAGTGGTGATGGATTGTTTGGCATTCCTTTAATATGTCCTTTTTGTCATGGTCTTTTTAAACTTGAACTGCATTGGAGGGTTCATGAAATCTATTGGATGACTTATTCAAATTATTACCATGGTTTAAAGTTTATTTTCAATTGATGTGGTGTTTGTTTATGCTTATTCAAGTTGGTAGGTCCAAGTTTCTTTTTGTGTATCAATGGTTTAGTTAGGTTGGGTACATTCAATTTCTTACAATTGCTAATTTTCTTTAGGATTATTTGATTTGAATTTGAGATGTTTCAAATCTAGATTATATTCTTAAGTTAAGCTTTTCTTATTTCTATTAGACTTGTTAGTGCTGAAAAGTTTTGATCTAGCAAGTTTCTTCAGTGTTTCACATGTGCCTAATGCAAGACTAATGTCATGAGCAATGTCTTATTAGAAGTTCCAAATTTTCAAATGGAAAAATCATAAATCTATTTACTTTTCCCTGAAGCTGAATGAAATAGTTTTGCAACTTTTTTTAGAAGACCAAAAACCATATACTACAGGTAATTGCATTGTGGCCTTTTACAATTTTTATTTTGTTAACAAAAACTTTAAAAACTAAATATTGCACCTCTGCTTGCAAACCTAAGGCAAATTTGACAACCAACAAGCACAAGCCTTGCCTAATAAATTATTATTATTGAGCTCACGACTTTTCCGAGCTTGGTATTATCATTCAAGACTGTGAAAACCTTTTGGCTAGTAGATTTAATATAGGTATTAGATGGATTAAGAGACAAATAAATGCAAGGGCTCTTTTCATTGATAGAGTTGCTTACAATTGCGCTCGCTTTACGGATGTGATAGTATCCCTCTTTGTTTGGTTGGTTTTTATTCCTAATATATGGGAAGTATGCCTTTTATTTCAAAAAAAAAAAAAAAAAGGCAAGCGTTATCTTTTCTTGTATACACAATGGTTGCTCACACTTGGAGGTATATTTAGCTCTTTATAGAAAAGATGGAGACAGGATCAAGTCATTTGTATTACAAAAGTGCTTAATAGGTCAAAACAAATCAATTCATTTATATGTAGATGATATAAAGATGAATGAGTAAAAATTATAGAGCGGAAGACGGTGACTACTATTGGCAATAGATTAATGGATGTTTTGTTATGTGTTTTATCATATTAAATTTGTTATTTTATTCTTCCAAAAGCGGAGATTATTTTTCTTATGATAATTTCATTTCTTTGGAGGAGAAAAATATTTTCTATTTATCTTTTTTTTTTTTCCACTGCTCTTACCTTTAGGCTTGCAACTAAGTTTTAAAGAGAATGATTTCTTACTCCATTGAAGTTCAATTACAAATACATTGTATTTTAGACTTAACAAATGCTTTCCCATTTAGACTAAGTTGTAAATTAGGAGAACAATAATTGTAAACAGTTTATTATTTCTCAACTTTCTATTGTAAATGTGTTCTTCACATTCTATGTCAATACAAATCAGTTATAAGAGGTCCGGTTCAAACCGATAGCAAATCAGTTCAAAATCGAAGATTAACCTAAGTTATAAATGTAGTCTTTGCTCATTCTTTGGCTATAACTCTTTCCACCTATAGAATTATATAACAAACAAAGTATCATAGAAAACTAGGTGGACCAACAGTATATCATGAGCCAATCTATGTTGAAACGGGCTTCAGACCACTTGAAATGGTCCAGAACTAAATTGAACTGATAAAATTTGTTCTAAGCCAGGCTTGGCAGCTAGCCCAGCGGCTGGCCGCTAGTAGAGGTGCAACCATGTTCCCACACTCTTATACTCTAAATCCACGTTGAAAATGCACAAGTTCTACCCTTCAACCTTTGCTTACCTATAACACACATTATGCCGTCCTGAAAGATTAGATAATAGATTTCACATTTTATGCCAAATGCTAAGATACAAAATCAAACTTAAACTAAAAATATGAATTAGGAATACTCCAAGTCTTGCATGTTTAACAAGTCTATAATTTTACTTAGAAAATAATTTGAAAAATCCTATAGAAAAACTTCATGAGTCCTCCCCTCCTAAAAACTGACCTAACTAAAACCCTGTGAAAACAAGAAGCATTTTTAATCATTTAACCCAACCTCAAGAACCACAAGTTTCAGTTACTCAACATATCAATTCCATATTCTAGACATAGTTAATATCAAATCCTAATATCACCCATAAAATATTTCTTTCAACAAATCTATCCATAATCCACCCTGAGAACATTCATGAAATATAAAGATTCTAAGACATAAACACATTCTTTCAAATCTTAATTAAAACAATAATCCTTAATCAAATCCAAACTTCAATATTTAAGATTACATGCTATAACTAAATACGTATAACTGAAATATACGGAACTAAATCTACCAAAATAGAATCTTCAAGCTCTGATGCAGGATCTCATTTCTGACTTGCACTCTCAAAGTTTACAACCTGCGCGTGATAGAAATCAACCCGCTAAGTATAAAACTTAGTGGTGCTCAACGTACTCAACGTCCAAAAATGACATTCAAAAAAATTTTTTTTATATAAAAACCATGAGTTGTAAGAATCCCATATACTTAATACATTACTAAATCATTTATCTCATTTTAACATAGGGGCCTTATACATACTTAAAAGAATTAAAAGCAAATTAGGAATAATTGAGACAGTTTTCAGAGGGGCTTAAAAAGCTAAACGGAGACAGATGAGCACATCCACTGAAGTAGAGGGCACCACATGCCAAAGCATATAATCATAGCCAAATCCAAGTAGCAAACATTACTAAATATCATATATCATGTTAACCTTTCTCAAACCATCAAATTCATACCAAGTACATAATAAGGGCCAAAAAATCAAGTTTATTCATTAAGTTTATCTTATTTCTCATTGTTGACCTTGATCTCAGCACTAGAACTTAGAATATATTGTCGCGGTTCCAACTGCTTGAGAATCAGCTTGATTGGACATTGTTTGGGCCTTGAACCAGCCTTCGAAAGCGAAGCAACACAGAAAATAAGCAAAAGGGCAAAGTCATCATTTTTTCCCTAGGTACTGACTGGCTTGTTCTCGGTATCAAAGGCCTTAGCGTCGGTATTGTTCATGTGGCTCAATACCACACCAATCGGTACCATCGTAGAGCTCTTCGGTACCAATTGGAGGCCCATTGGTACATACCTAAAGCTAGGGTAGGCTATAAAAGGCATGCTCCCCCCTCATTTTCCACCCCTCTTATTGTTTGATTGAGCACTTCTCAAGCTTCAACGACTCTCATTCTCCCTTGTTTGAATGATTCTAAGGCTATAAAGTCCCTTTATTGTTTTTCCTTAGTCAAGCCAAAGTCCAACTTGGTACTCAAAACTTGATCCTTTTAACTTTCACTTACATTTTGGTCCTCATTGGCCCAAAGTTCATTAATTAATTAATTAATATTAATTGATAGAAGACATAGTCGGGTCCTCGTGCCCATCCTTCATTTATTTGGAGAAAGACTTGATCTCTTTGATCGATTTTACACCATGGAGCTCTGTAACTGTACACTTGCACCACTCAACCTCCAACCTCGACATAGGGTATAAAATTAAACTCAATCTTTATCAATTAAGCCGATCTATCTGACACCTAATACCTATTAAGCCCGGTCCATTTGACACTTAAAAAAAATGCTTCAAGTTTGGTTAGTCCAGCACACTAAAATCACATTTTTCAATCAAAGCCCGGTTCATCTGGCACTTAAACCCGGTCCGTCCGGCACTTTTTAAGCCCATTCTAAGAATGACACCTAAAATCCTACCATCTTAATCGATGGTAGAACTTCGTGTGTACTAATCCTCATTCAAACGAGGTAAGAAGGCATATTTAGAATTTCAGCCAAGGTAGTTGGCCCCTGACCGAATAGACTGATTGGGATCTAAGGGAATGTGTCGCACAACCATGAATCCTTAATAAACGAGGCTAGAGTTGAGCTCCCCTCTGAATTACACCTTTTCTTTAATATTATGCTTTCAATGCTTTGTCCATATCACTATTATTGCCATGCATTCTAACTATGCTCATGCATTGATAATCTGACATTCATGCAAACCGATGATTTGATTAGTTGATTAAATTCCAAACCACTGATTCTACGAAAAGAGCCAAAAACCTAGTCCTCGAACATAATGATTTAAGTCTAGTACATTTTATCCATTGTGTTAGATTAAAAAGGAGTCAAGCACATGGTTTTTACCTTATATTTTCCTTGAAAATAAAAATAAAGTAAGGTAGCGACTCTAAACACACCATTAAGCGCTCCAAAGAGCCAATCATAAATCAACCTAAATGCTAATTAGAGCCAAACAATAAAAAGGAACCATAAGGAGTTCTTGCTAGTCCATGAGAAATCAACCAATGGGCCCATCTGGATCGACTCCGTCCTTCGCATCTTTTCCATGGCGCTTGAGAGGGGCCTCACAGCTGGTGACTCTGCTGGGAACTTTAACATTTTTTATAAACTAAAAAAATGTAATAAGAGGACTACTGAGTAGGCTGCGAGTCTCTGGTTTGGAATTCATCGATTAATCACATTCCATTCATTCAGATGCATCATTTGGGATCATTTCCCTTCATTAGAACCAAGCAAACCGAATTGCTATTATCACCTAGGGGCATTCCTTCTTAGGGCTGCCTTGGGTGGAGAAAGTTGCTCATCCGGATCCGCAACACCTCTAATCCTTTCAGTAGGGTAAAGGGTTTGGTGTACCATAATCGCTACATTTAATATAATATCGTTAAATGACGAGGTATATTTCAACTCTAGCGATTAGGACCTTGAAACCAAATCCACCAAAAGCATCTAATAACCCTAAAACCTGACTCTAGGTTACCTGCACCAAAAATCATGAAACCATTTTTTGGCACGACACCCATGCATTCAAAGCATTGTATGAAATGGACCAAAAAAACCCTAAAACCCATCCTATGGTAAAACCTAAACACTAAATCCATGGTCAACTTAAACCGCATGGTCAAACCTAAACACTAAACCATTGTTACCTAAAACCGTGGTCAAACCTAAAACCCACTGAAGACGTGTCATTTTTCGATGACTGGGGAAAACCTGATCCAGT